TGCATAAAATTAATAATTTTCTTTTTTCATGAGGAGTCAGCATACTGAGACCCCTTTGGGCTGCAGAGCTTTTGTGAAGGACATGTCAGACATATATGATGATCGAAGACTAAGAAGATGAAAAATATCAACATATTAAAAAAGTATAAGGCCAATACCACAGCTGGGGTAACCGATACAATGTCACCAAGTGGAAGAGCTAAAGGGGTGAAAAATTTTAGAAGTATCGGGGTCAAAACACGTTTCTATCCCAGTGCGATATTTGTGAAAAGAAAGAAGAAAGAAAGAAATTCATCAAGCAAAGTACAATAAACTAAAGCAATTTCATCTAAATTGGTATGCCATATTTTGACAGAATTTTTATAGAACAGAGGTATTTGTATCCAGTTGATCCTCCATTACTTGATGTAACATGATAATGAAGTTGAAAAATTTATATTTTGAATTGACAGCAATCAACAAAATGTGAATTGAAAACTTATCATTGTTAAACAAATGGTTCTCCCCGAGATCTAAAAAATTTTAGCATGCTAAACATTTATGAAGTAAATTATAATTTCTCCCAAGAATTACCAAGGAATTCTATTACGGAAGGTAGAGTTTCACTAGGAAAATGTGTTAACTGCAGCACATTACTGTAAGGTATTGCAAAATATGTGAAGAAACTGCATAAAAATTATTTCACTTGCTTAGGAATGTGAAATTAACTTTAAAGGGCACCTTATTATGAAAAAGTTGGGCAAGTCTCCTAAACAAATAAGAACGGCACGTTTAGTTTACCAATCCTAAAATCTCCAAATTAGAAGAGCTGTATGTGGACAGCGTTTTTTCTTCCATCCTGAAAGAGGTTTCTTCAGTTACCCGAGTCATTCAACGACTCAATAAATGTAGTATTCTACAAAGAATAGCAAATCTTTCAACATATTGGCTAGCAACTGTTATAAAACAAGGGGATCACACAGAAAGAATGTTAGCAGAAGTTGCCTGAAATAAAATTAACCCAAGGGAAAAAAAAAAAAAAATGAGAGAGGATTACATTTTAAATTACCTCATATTGTAGAGACATCAGGATTTTTTTTAAGCTGGAGCAGTAAAAAATGAGCCATGCCCTTGCCAGGACTTGAACCATGGACCTCTTGAATACGTGCTGAGCGTGCTGACCATTACACCACGAAGGCATACTAAGAAGGTGGCAGAAATACCTTATTACACCACGAAGGCATACTAAGAAGGTGGCAGAAATACCTTATTACACCACGAAGGCATACTAAGAAGGTGGCAGAAATACCTTATGTAGTCCCCCTTTTTTAAGACTGGGGATTAAGGGGACCCAGTCGCCAAATCATGGTGGTGGAGTACAATCATCAACCACCCTTTTAGTTTGGACGCCACTCTAGAGACATTAGGATTTTTTTCAACCTGGAGAAGTGAAAAATGAGCAATGCCCTTGCCATACTCGAACCACGGACCTCTCGAATATGCAGTGAGTGTGCTGACCATTACACCACGAAGGCATGCTAAGAAGGTAGGAGAAATACCTTATAAGCAGTCTAGCGATAGTGACTTAATCAGTCTATTATCATTTCTTTAGAGTGAGCAGCACAGTTAAACATACATAAATTTAGAAATTTGAACATGTGTAACTGTTAAGAATTAGCTGAAATGACATGTTAGTGTTTTTCCATATTTCGATTCTGTGACACAAATTATGCCAAACTGCCAAGTTTTGTAAAAATCACACAAGTAGTTTTTAAAAAATTAACTTTCAAAATGTTAGCTCTTCAATGTTAATTAAATTTGATATATATTTATTAATATATCATTTTTTATTAAACTTGCTTGATTCTTACTTCCAGAATTCAAAATTTAGGCTAATTCAAATATAATTTGTCTAGGCATACCTGCAAAAAATTTGAGTTTTTTTATACAAAACTTTCTAAGATATACATAAATTTACATATTGGCAGGTTTTGAAATTTGGCATCTTTTTTTTTTTTTTTTTGAGCGATAGTAACTCCAAATATATTATGCACTTTATTAAAATGATTTGAAAAAGCACGAGCTATGACTTTTTTCCGTACTCGCAAGATCTCTCGCTGCTATTTCACATAAATTAAATTAGATCCTGCAAGGAGCCTGGCGAATTCTCGCGCAGGCGTGAATTAAGTAACAGCACAGAAGAAGGTTGAAAATAACCCTTTATTAATTCAAATGAGAACAGAAAGGCACGATCTTCGTGCTTTACATAAACACCATCAACTAGTGGTGAAACTTAAACATAAATTCAAATATAAATCAATTCAAATCTAAAATAGAATAGCATGTTAAGTTATTGTCTAACAGGTTGACTGGACGAAAATCTAACAGGTGTGACGATAATCCGAAATGGCCAAGAGGCTTACTAGCGTAACAGCGAGATAGCAGCAAGATGTGCGCTGGCTAGCGAAAATACGCTCTGAATAAACTCAGAGATTCACCCGTTTAAATACTCACTTCACTTAACTTTAAAACTTACATTCTGGCGAGAAAATGTGAGGGGGAAAGTTGAAGAGTTAAGGAAAGGTGTCTAACTTAAAATAAATTTGTAATGCAAAATAAGGGACACCTTACAGTGTACAATGAAAAAAAGGAAAGGAAAATAGTTTGCTATAAATTAAGAAATTCGGCAAGTAAATTATTCTTGGAGCAAACTGAAAAGAGGGCCAAGATAAATTTTTGAATTTCTCCGTAAATTTCGCACCAAATTTTAGAAAATTTCCTATTTACGCATAATTTGAGTCGTATGGAAAACGATTTTCATGCCATTTAAAAAAAAGTCAGATTTTGTGTCAAAATACCTTTACTAGAACAATGCTATATATAAATCTAATATATATCCAAAGTTGCGCTTTCGAGACATGAAAAACGCAATTTGAATTTTCGTCAATCAGCCTAGTAGAATGGGAGATATAGAACTATCCCATTTATTTATTTATTTATTTTTTTACGCAGTGTACATTTGGGTACAAAAGGGTCCAAATTTCCAACATTCCGCACCAAGCAAGAGTTCATATCTTAGAACCATATGAAACATAGTCTCTTCTTAAGTGCAGAAGGTATGATTACACCATAGCACACCCAAATTTGAAAATCTGATGTGGTAGACAGATAACACATCACGAGAAGCAGCAGAATCCAGTTTGCAAGAGTTTCCAGTAACAGTGGGCAGCACAGCGCATTCTTAGCCGTATGACAAATTAAGAAACACAGTTAAATGCAGTCCTTTGTTAATTTGCGAAATACGATAATGTTAACATGCCAAAGTTAAATAATCTGGGACAGTAGGCGTGAAATGCTTCTACAAAGGAATGGGATCTTTCTTACAAGAGTTCAGCTCTGGGTGGTATCCGTAACATAGAACCACTGAACCCAGAATTTGAATAAAGATACTCACTGAAATGCAGTATCTTCTTAACTTGTGGAGGATGATCATAACAACACAAGAAAGCCTAGTATATTCTTTTTTCATTTGCCAAACAGTTTCTGATCGAAGTTTGTCCATTAAGAGTATTTTTTTTTCCACTCCCTTCCAGCTAAGCTCTCTTGGACTTCCGTTAATCCAGGCAATAATCAAACTCCAGATTCTTCATGACTAAATGAAAATAATTTATTCGGACTTTGTTTTAGACGTGTGCAAAACCGCTCCTTTAAGGGATCAGATTGGAGCCATTCTCTCAATGTAGTGAATCAGTTCTTTTTAACGATTCACCGCTCACTAACAATGACCTTGATGAATGCACTCTGAACAAGCGTGAATCAAGAGCGGTGTACATCTGTAAGTCTTAGGCTTTTTTGACGGCCATTATCTGCTCTAAAAGTAACAAGATATGATAGCAATTGGCAGAAATGGAATTTTTTTTCAATTTTGTTTGTTACTTTGACGATAAGTCAAGTACGGACAATTTAAAATTGATTAAGTTATTACACACATAGTATAAGAAATTAAATTAGCAATTAATAAAGAAGTGTGTCATTGCATGGTTTTTTTATTTCAAAAAGGAATTTTATTTAAAAAATAAACAAGCTTCTTGCAAACAAGTCACATTTCAGAGAGCAAACGGCAGCAAGTAGCTCTTGAGCCGCAGTTGAGGTGTCGGAGAGCTGTAGTTTGGCCATGTCTGTTATATAGAATAATAGTGATGTTTAGAATTTTATATCTGTTAACTGAAAATAATGAAAAATTATGCTTCATGAAAAGACATTTCTCAGAAATGCATTCATATACTATTAATGAAAACATAATTTGCTTGACTAAAATATTTGCATTTTATATAAAGAAGAGTTAATTAGAATTATATTGTAGCTGAAATGCATATAGTAATTAAAAAATGTAAAGGCATATACTTGAGTTGGAAATGAGCAGATTTTGTAACGGAAAGTCTGGAAAAAAAAATAGTACAGCATGATAATGCAGAGGGCTGTTGAGTAAAAGGTAAAAGTATTCATCTGGTGTAAATCATCATTCCTTAAGCAAATTTCGTGCGGATGCTAACAAAGAGTGCATATCGGTATAAAAACTCAGAGTTCACTGATGCTGATTTTATCTGTGGAGTTGCAGCTATGCAAAGGAGGAATGCAAAATGATTTTCGGCTGCTTTTCTTGAGCAGGTGCTCAATTTCTGTCTATAATTCCATAGATAAAATGCATATAGGCCACCTGCTTGCTCATTTAGTGATGCACATTTCTTAAAATTCGCATGAGAGTAACAAATATTACAATGGTCTGACTGTCAATTTTCACTTATTTCAAAAGGGTGTAATATTTTAGTGAAGGAATTAACTGCATAATTCTCTTCAAAATAACATTCATTGCACTTTTCACAGAAAGAAATAAAGTGTAATTAATTAAATGATTATGGTGAAGTATGCGTTTCCCCAAGAACAATATTTGACATATGATATGAAAATTAATAAACTTGAGTATTTTTTTAAATTGCTATTTTTTTTTTTTTTTTTTTTAGAAAATCTTCTGTCTGCTGCTGAAAGGTTTTTCCGATTTAGAAAGCTGCCACCTCTAGGTATGTAGTTTCAACTTGGAAAAATATTGCTTAACTAAATTTTCATAGTTTTGTTTTTTCTGTAAAAGGCAGTTTATATACTGATGTAGGAAGTTGTAAAACTGTATTAGTATAGACCAAGGTAATTGTATAGATTGTTTTCAAGGGTATTGTATAAATAGTGTACAGTAGTGAACAAAAGTAATGGTACAAATGACTCTCAAAGGTATTTTTAAAATTTAATAATGATATTAAATTATAACAATTAGTTTATTATAACACAGTGAACTTTCTACAAAATAATTTGATTACGAATTCTTACAAAATTATTCTCATTAAGGAAGCTTTTTAATATGTTTTAAAAATTCATAAAATTTGGTAAATAATTGCCCCATATGAGGATGGAAACTTGAACCTTCATTCTAGCCTCAGGTATAACAAATTTTAACAGATGAAGAAAAGCGGCCGAAAGGTACGTCAAAGAGAACTGGGAGATTATGCTGAAATTCTCCTGAACATAAATTACAAAATATACAGATTACATGGTGTGAAGGCTAAAAATTAGAGTATTTAATCTCAGTAGTGCATTAGGCTAAGCAGACTTATTCTAAAGTGAATCACAGCTGTTGCCAGTTTACTTACTCTTCATATTATAGACAGAGGCTGATTGCCACTGTTGGAGCCTTCTTCATAAATAATTCCTCGAGTCTTCAAAATGTATTTTCTGGAAATTTCTAAAATGTTACCAAGGCATGGTATGTGACAATATGTTAGCAAGACATGGTAGGTGATGATAGCCTATATCTCTGGTTCTCAATGTTTTCTAAAATAAAAATACCTCATGTATAAACTTAAAATTACTATAAGAAAAGTCTTAATTATTCTAAGCTCTTATGGCATTTATGATTTAAATTTTACCAGCAATTGCTTTATGTTAATTTTTTCTGTATGTTCGTCATATTGTCATGATACTCATACCAGAGATTTATGCAAATTTTGCAGCGATGTAGTTTAAAACCAAGATGTTATCTTTATTGTGGGTGGATTGGATGTCTTTTGCAATACTGCCATTTTGCTATGAAGGTGCTTAGTTACAAAAAGTGAACTGTTTCAAAAATTGTTCAGACAATAGATCATTCCTATTCTAGCTGCCAACAGAAAAGACAATATTACAAATATAGTAAGATGCTAGAATGAGTTCCGATTCCTATTCTGGTAAGATGTTAGAATGAATTCCTATTCTAATTTCGTATTCTGAAATTATTTTAATAGCAATACTAACAGTTTCTTTTCTGCATGGATTTCTTTTAATCCATTTACTATAAAGATTAGTGTTCTTGACACAGAAATATATATCCTTTATATACACAACTAATGTGGTATTTTACTACAAGAATTGCTGGGCATTTGCCATTGAATTATTAGGTCTAAACCTCGATTACTGCACTCCTTGTTTATGCTCAGAAATCCAAACTTCTGAAGACAGAATGCCACATAAGAGCTGGTGTTATGGATTCATTGTATCCTGGCCCATTAACTGCAAGTCAATAACAATAATGATTAACAATATTGCAATTAGTGATAATACTGTGTAATGAAAATACTGCATTAGTATAATAATGACTAGCTGATAATAATAAAAGTATAATATATAGAGTTCTAAAATGAAATTTAAAGTTTTTAAAATATCCTGTTATATCAGCAGTAATAGGATATTTTAAATCCTAGTTAATCTACTCTAATGTTAAATATCCATTTGAGACAAAAGGTGTATTGGTCTTTCACTAGACCAGATTTAAGTTTTATACTGCATGATACTCTTGCATGCAATATACATTTCTGCAATTCTGCCAAAGCTTGACATATTTCTTGGCAACTTAGTGCCTCCTATCAGGACATCAGTAATGTTTGATCTTTGTTGGTGTTTGCTAATCTTAAGTTTAGAAAATATTCCTTTTTTCATTCTTTATTATTTAATATTTTTTATGAATAGTTGTGTGATATTATCATATTTTTTATTTTTATTATTATTTTCATGATATGTTACTGGTAGTCGAGAAATCAAATGTTTTTCTGCAAGGACATGTGAAGGATAAATGGAGCTAATTCTTGTAGATGTGTAGGTAATTTGTCTTGACTCTATCAAAGCCTCTGTTAAGATAGTTCCAAGTTGTTCAGTTAAGGGAGATGGCTTCCCAATTATTTTCTTGAAGCTTACTTTCACTGTTGTTATATGCTTATAGAAACCGCCTGCACCATGCTTTCCTTTCAGAGATGAATTTCCACTGAATTCCTCTGAGTGGTGCCCATATTGGATCTTCTTATGAAAACCTTTATTTAAACAGCTCCTATTTATTAGCTGAATATTTATAATTTATTTAAGTCTCTATTTTCATATACTTCCATTCATTAAGGTGATATTTACATTATTAAAGGAAATAAAAAAGCAAAATATTTTAAAATAATATATACCAATTAACAAAAAATTTCATGACCGAATAAAGGCAGTCATGCCACTCGGTTAGAAACCTTCTTGAAATATTCTGTAATGTCATGGTGGTCAAGTTTCTTCGATATTTCTTTCAGTTTTAGGCTTGCTGTCTTGAAGGCTTTTGTGTTGTCAGAATTGATTGTAGAACAGGATCCACATCGTGGAATGAATCTTCAAAGTACAATTAAAAACACTTCTGTGCTTTTAGATTACAAACTAATTCTAAATGAAGGACACATGTAAATATGCAGGTCCATAGTAAAATATAATACTCTTCATTCTTATCTCTGGTAAATAAAGATTCCAGTAAAATTCGTACCAATTACATCAAATTGCAGAGATTTTTGATTATGATATTCTGCCATTGGAGCTGTTAACTGCATTTTAAGATGAACCATATATCTTCTACATATAGTAAACGCTAGCTGAATGTGGGGGTTAGGCCATTAACACACTCTGGGCATGGCAAAATCGTGTTCTACGAAGTAAAATTTCTAGGGAAAAAATGGGTTAGATATAATTTAGATTAATAAAGTATTTATTTATAATTTATACAAACTTAAATATTCACAAATGTTAATCGAAAAGATTTCTATTACTGCTTAATAAGCAGCTACATGATACAATTATTTTAATAGCTGGTGACATTTGATTTCTGTTACTGCTTAATAAGTAGGTACATGATTAAATTATTTTAATAGCTGGTGATTTTTGTTTGGGATAATTTCTGTTGCAATCCATTAAATGTTTTGTAGTAAGAAGTACATAAAGTATCTTCTTTTTTTATTTGGGTCTATCCTCACTACAATGGACAGTTCCTGTGCCATTTTTAACCTGCAAGCACACACGTGGGGTATCTCATACCTGTCCCTTATCTCCAAACGCCTTTCCTGGAAATGGACAAAACCTTTTGTAGCTGAATTCAAGGTTACATTCTTGAAGCTGGGAAGTCCATGGAGTGATTCTTTGAATACTTTTCTAGGAATTATACCATTTGAGTGCGTGACACCCGCGTGCCTTCTCGCGTCTCTCAGATTTTCGTCTTCACTTTCTTAGTTAGTCAGCATGGTGCGGTGTCTAAGTTATGATAAAGAAATGGAAAGGTTGAGAAATATGCTAGAAACCATATTAGCAGATGATAACTCGTTTAGCGAAGAGGAGGATGAATTAATAGACGAAGAATGCAACAGCAATCATAATTTATCTACAGACACTGAATGAGTAAATTAGAAAATCAACCAAATAATGAAAATTATGTTGGTAAAAATAGCCTGCTATGGGGGGGATATTACAAACGAATGTTAGAACTAGTTCTAAAAACATTATTGTCAAAATTCAAGGAAATACTGGTTATTCAAAAGATGCATCAACACCATTGGATTCCTGGTCTCTGCTCACTGACAAAAACATGATAGAAATAATAGTTCATTGTACAAATATTTACGTTGATTCCATTCAGTAGCGGTTTGTATGTGAGCACGATGCAAAGAAAATGGATGAATGTGAAATCAAAGCACTTTTGGGACTTTTGTATATATGTGATATTTATAAATCCTCTCACATCATCACATCAGTGTAAAAGATCTGTGGGCAGCAAATGGAACTGGAATGGATATTTTCCGCAAAACAATGTCCTGCAAGTGATTTCTTTTCCTACTAAGATGCCTTCAGTTTGATGATATCTGAGATCGTCCAAGTATAAGAGATGTGAATAAATTCACTCTCATAAGGCAGTTTTTTGAAAAATTCATTGAGAACTGTCAGGAAACGAAAGCCTACACTGTAGGTGAATATATAACAATTGATGAAAACGTTAGAACCATTCAAGAGACAATGTTCATTTAGGCAATACATGCCAAAAAAAAATTACCAAATATGGCAGAAAAATATTTGAACTGGTTGATTCCAGAGCGTTTTATACATGGAAAATGGAAATATATGCTGGTCAGCAGCCAAAGGGGACATTTCAGTTTGATAACAATGCAAGTGCTATTGTAAAGCATTGATGGAACCATTGTACAATTCTGGGCAGAATTTGACTGTATATAATTGATATATGCGATACCAGGTGTCTCAGGATCTGCTAAGGAAGAAAATAACTATAGTCAGGACTGTGAGAAAGAATAACAGAAAAATTCCGCCAGATTTCCTAATGAAGAAACAGGAAGCATATTCTTCAATTTTTGGTTTCCAGAAAGAAACAATGATTGTTTCTTTTACACCAAGGAATAACAAAAGTGTTGTCCTACTTTCAACTATGCATAACAATAATCAAATTGACAAAACCAGTGGAGTAGTAAAAAAAGACCACAGATTATTTCATTTTATAATTTAACCAAAGGAGCAGTACATGTTGTAGACAAAATGGGAGCAGCGTATTCTACAGCTAGAGTATCAAAACAGTGGTCTATTTTTTCCTCGATTTTAAATGTTGTAGCAATTAATGCATGAATAAACTTACTTTCTACAAAAGAACCGCCAACTCAGTTTAGAAACAGGCATTCATTCTTTTCTCAAATCTGAAGTTAGT